AGCGAAGCTTAGCTGCTTGGAATTGGAGACAGGACAGGAGTTCTGGCATGTTATTCGGCACTTTTGTTCACATAAACAAGATATTTATTACGTGTGCACTTAAGTCTAATTATAGAAAAGAATTGTTGGAAAATATTTTCTGTAAATACGTATGTATACAGTATGGAAGTCTATAATCGTGTTTTACAAAAGACGAAGACATGGTTGAGTGAAAGACAAAGTGAAGTTTAGATGTTAGCACAAATTTGTGAAAATCAAAATAAAAGCAACACAGAACACATGGGTGCTAAAAACTGCACTTAATCTACCAATACCCAACTACTAATATTTGGTATACTGTTGTGCTGTAAGTAAATATTATTGTATTTACTTACAGCACATACAATAATATTTGCTGTATTACGTCATGCTAAAATACGCTTGTTTCTTAGCAAGATGCACAGCATGGCAATTCCTCGTTGCAATTCCTCTGGCAACGAGGAATTGCCAGAGCTGCAAAGAGCCGCGTCGCTGGTAAGGCGTTCCCTCACGGAAGACACCGCCTGGTTCCTTCTTTACCTCGCCTGGACGTTTATTCGCATAAAAAACTCAAACACATAAAACTTTATTAGTAAATCAGCAATCTAACAAATCAAAAAGATTCAAAACAAAGTAATTCCTAAGTGTTGTATAAATCAAAAAGATGTAGGCTGAAGCAATTCGGCTTATATGTGCCTGTCCTTAAATGTTCATTACAAAGAAACCATTTCCCAGAAAACACAGAATCAACAGTTAAATCCAGACAAACGAATCAAACAGACATATTAAAATCTACGTAAATCGCCATGACGAAGGTTTCAATCAGATTTCAAATATTCAAGTCCCTTAACAGTTTTCTATGTTGACCCTGCTTGCTAAGAATGAGGCTGCAACATTCGAAAACATTATTCAGTCTTTCTCCAGCAATTTTCACATGTGAAACAATGCAATGCTTCACGTGTGATGAAAACAAGAGACAGTCAATAACATAGTAAACAATGGCCTCTGGAAATCTATTCAAGGAAAATACCTACTTTTCCAGTTACTGAACACTTACAGGTAATAAGCGGTTTTATTTCCTCTTCACATGGTCTGATTCCTTCCTGAGCTGTTGTCACTTTGTGAAGCGTTGGTTATCTAAGTTTCAACTTGTGATCTCTTCCTCTTTTGTAATACTTTGAGAAAATGAGTTTTCCACTTTAATGAGGTAAACTTTTGATACAGCAGTAGGCATACTAATCTATCAAAGTCTTGATTGGAGTAGTTAACTTTAATCTATAGATATTGAAAATGGCTGTTTTCACTTCTGCAAATATGATAAACAGCATGTAATGTTTATTCTAATGAGCAATAAGGTACTCAATTCTTTGCCCAGTGTTGTTACATTTCTGTTTATTACATTCTGTACCCATGCCAGGGTTTTCTCAGAGGAAACAGTGCTGTCCATTCCTAGACTGGTCCTGTGCACTGCAGTTCAGCTGGCTGAAAATTGTGACTTCACAACTTAAGCCATAGTTAATGTGAGGGACCTGACTCAAACGTGGACAAAAAATGTTCAAAGTAGAAAAAAGTTTCAATGTAATTCTTCAAAAAAAAATCATTAACAAAGCATAAAGATTTAAAGCAATAAATCAAAGCTAAGTAACAAATTTGGATCCAAATTGACTGAGGTCAACTGAACTCTAACTGTACACAAACAAAACTGACCTACAAAGAATAAAAGGCTGCTTAAATAGGGGTGGAGTAACCTAAATTTACCACGAGGGAGGCACAACATAACAAAAGGACAAATAAATACAAAATTAACTAAAGCATCCTATGAAACAAATAAAGCAAAACTAACTTTAACTTAGCACAAATAATAAGCGAATATTTATTTAAGTGACGAAATTAAATAAAAATCAACTTGAAGTCTCCCCCCCTTCAGTCTTTCAGAAAATGGATTAATCCAGGTTCCTCCTCCAGCTGGTTTATATCAGCAGCACCTCAAATAAGTGTAAGTAAATCAGTCAGACAGACATTAACTAAAGTGTGCACCCATTAGATGTCTTGTATGTCTAAATGAAATGACTAACTTAGACTATAAGCTATACTAATAAAGAAGAAAATACTAACACGATGTGGTGGTGGTAGGAGCATCCACCAGATAATTTAATCTCAACTTTTCAACACAATGACCGTGTGTGCATTTTGGGGATGACATGTAAGAGGTTTTTAAACAACTTTAATATATTGTGAGAATCTTGAACCAGAACATCTTTTTTCCAACTAAAGCTGCTTTATTCCTCATGGCAATTTTTTTTCATAATCTTTTATAATCTCTAATTATAATCCATTTCATAATCCTCGTTTTCAATAACCGAAGTGAACAAAACTTAGGAACCTTTAAAATGAAACTTTCCAAATGACAAATCTTTTAAGGACCCGACATCCAAATGAAACCAACCATTTATTAGTCATATTACATCCTGGAACACTCAGTTAGATAAAGTGCAAGCACAACTTTAAATGTCTTCTGTGAACAGTGACAGTCTACAAAGTGCAGTGTAGTAACAATAATAAGTGGAAATGGAGCAAATGAGATTAAAAAAAGATTTAATAAAACATACAGACTGAAACAATGGAGCAACAAAACCACAGAGGAATTATGTTTAGAAAAAGAAATCAAGAATCTGTATAAACTGAATCATTTGAAGAGATGCAGTTGGAAGTTTGAATGTTGTGGGTAAAAACATGCAATTTTGTGGGACAAATCTATAAATATTCCAAATAGAAAGCTGGCCCTGCTAGTGAAGAAACTTCAAACTGTAAAGCAAAAAACAACTTTAAAGTGCTTCTCTGTCTAGGACTCCTGCAGCCACTGCCTTCACCGTCTGATTTATGTACACAGCATCGTTTTTCAACACGTCTTCATTTGTAAGTACACTTTAATAAGAAATATTAACATTTCACTTTCAGCTGCATCATATCCTAGCTTGAATTATACAACAAAGAAACAGAAGTAGCTTCTTAAGAACTAACACCCAGTAATAATATTGCTCTGGAAGAATGTGACACCTGCAGCACACAAATAACTCAATTATCCTTCCATAAGGTTAAAGCTGTGATTAAGAAGTTATATGGTAATAATGAAACCCCCCTTCAGAAAAAAAAAAACTCTTGGACCATGTTTTTTTTTAGTTCACTACTAAAAGTCCTTCTCAAAGGTGAAGATCAAATCCTTCAACTTCACCTTTTATACCGAAGGATTGTATGAAACCAGGTCATTATAGCTAAAGATACAACCTGCACTGTTTAAAATGAACTACTGAAGGAAGAGACACAAATTGATTCTCACTGACCTAAAACTGATTTCTTGGATTGTTGCTTTAGAATTTATGTTAGCAACTCCTTATTCACAGGAGGGAAAACAGAAATAAGTAACACTCTGCACAATATCAGGAAAGATATTCAGAAACTGGAAAAAAAAAATTAAAAAATACACCACCACTTAAAAATGAAGCATCTGGACATCCAGAAACAGCTTCTCTGACCTTTACCATGCGTTTCTATATTATTCTTTAAAGGAGGGCAAGAGTCTGGAAAGAAAGGACTAAATAAATACTATTAAAAGGTTTTTACAGGGTAGAAAAAGTAGACCTCCGGTAGAAACACACAGCACAAGGGTCTACATATTTTCCAGCTTTGAGATAATTCAACTTTGCTCAAAGTGAACACGGATTCACTGCAAAATAATTCAAATCAAAAGAAAAAAAAACAGCAACAATGAACTGCCTTTAATGGAGTAACTCCCATGAACAAAAAAACAAATACATACTTTGGAAAAGTAATATTAATATGTTACAACCACAAATTTCAAAGTATTTTACTTTTGTTATAATTGAATACAAAGTAGCGTATAATTGTGACATTGAAGGAAAATGATACAAGGTAGTTAAAAATTATGGGGTGGATTTCTATTTAGTCCCCTTTAATCTAATGCCCTCAAATAAAACCCGGTTCCAACAAGTGCCTTCAGAAGTTGTCTGATTAGTCAATAGTCAACCTGAATGTAAATGAACCATAAATCCAGCGGGAGGCTGCATCAGAGAACAGAATTATGAAGACTAGATGTACAAATACAAAACCTGTAGATTTTCTATATTCTACAGTCTAGAAAAGATGTGGAGTTGTAGCAATAAGAGGTTTATCAGGGGAATTTAATGGAAATGCACCTGACATTTTTACGTTTTATTTCAATTAATCCTTCCTCTTCACAATTACACACTACATTGTGTTGACCTATGAGATGAAACTTTGACATAACATACTGGAGTTATGATATGACAAAATGTGAAACGTTTAATGGAAGGTGGGTGAATATGTTTATAAGGCACTGTACAGTGGATGATCAAATCATAAGAAGATCAGAAGATTTCAAACTGGGAGAAGAGTGGCAGTGGAGAGAGGAAGAGCTCTGAAAGATGATGCATTTCACTGAACACATAAGTCAGATTTTCTGAGTTGTAGGAGTAAAGAAGTTGCTTTTTTACACCATCCACTCAAAATCCAACATGGCTGCTTCATGCATGAGGAAAGCTGACGGTTGAGCACTGTGATTGTTCAAAAACACAAAATTCTCAAGTATTTTTGGTCTAGTTTCTAGTGCAAATATCTTAGTACACACAAAATAAGACAAAAGTAACTTACAAGTAACTTTCCAGCAAGATAATATGAGCTTGTTTTAACCAATTCCTTAGTATTGATGAAAAAGTTATAGTTTCTCTAGCAGATTATTCCATTTTTAACAAGACATTTTTCCCATGTTATAAGTGAAATAATCTGCTTTACTTTTTCATAAATATTAGGGAATTATTAACTTAAATCAAGGCCCTATGTCTTGTTGAAAAGTTACTTACAAGTAAATTTTGACTTATTTAAAGTACACTAAGATATTTACACTAGAAACCAGATCAGAAAGATTTGGTGAAATGTGTTTTTGCAGTGAGGTAATCAACTTTAGCTTGTTTCTTCTGTCAATTTGTCCAGGAATTAGTGAATGTTCTGTTCCAGTGACTGAATGCACAAAATGCAGTATTCTGTGTTTTCTCCTCGTGTCAGTAATAATAGTTACGATTAGCATTGAGCTGTCAGAACATAACTTACTGCTTTTCTCTCTTTCCCCTGGAACACGGTGGAACTAGAGGGTTTTAGATCTGACTCATGAGGCCAATGGAATGCAACACAACCAGCAGCACAATGACTACAATACCCATGAGCACCGAGTGTGCTTTGAGGGCGACATCCAACAGACTGATCCTGAGGCTACAGGTATCTGTAATCAGAAGATGTCGGGACACATTTCCCAACTTCCCTGTTCCTTGGCGTCCCAGTAGCCTCCCTTGTAGACATGCAGCGTCTCTCCAGACACGGAGTCGTGGATCTTCTCGAACCACAGCGCTTGGTAGTTGTCTGGATGGGCGCCTGAGGAGGAAGCCAGACAAAATAAAATCACAGTTTTAACACAGAATGTTTAAACTGCAAGTCGAGAAGCAACACATGAAGCTTTAAAGCAGCAGTATGTAACTTTTGTTAAAAAAACAAAAAACAAACAAACAAAATATATATAAATTTATATATATTTTTAACATTTGTTGAAACTGTCACCATGTCATGGCAGTATAGTGACAGTTAATCTGAAAGAAAAAAAAATTAAGCTAGTCTGCATTCCCAAAGTGCTCTCTAGAAAACCAATCAGAGCCAGGAGGAGGGTTTTAGCGCCGTCAATCACCTCGCCGTGTGGCGCTGCTTTCATGAATGCTCAGGCTAATTAGCATAGCCACCGATTACAGCAGATCAACATGTTCCTGTAACGGTAAGTTGTTTCTCCACCATTAGCACAGTTAGCAGCGTGTACATGAGAAGATTGACAGCGCCAAGACCCTCCTGCAGTCTCTGAATTGATTGTTTTTAGTTGGTAGCAGTGCATTTCTTCAGGCAGCAGTAGCAGCTCAGGGAGGATGTAGAGCAGGTTGATCTTTTCACTGATTATTGGGGCAAGCCATTAGCATTACATAGAGAAGAGCTATGCAATGCATGGCAGGCACCTATTGTTCTACACCCAATAGAATGTCTCTTCCTGACTACCAGGAAAAAAAATATTGTCCAATCACCATTTTCTTTTAAATTCCACAATCTTTGTAAGGTAATTAGCATACTGAAAACATTTTTTTTGGAAAAAAAACATTTATTTTTGAAATATCATGCGTCCACTACAGTGGACATCGGAACCCCATACATTTGAAATTGAACCTTGATGGCAACCAGTTTGTCCCAAAGAAAATATCCAAACATCAAGATAAGAATGAATTTCACATTGACAAAACTGAGCACTGTTGCCTAGCAAGAAGGTTCTAGGTTTGATTCCTGGCCCTGGGTCTTTCTGCATGGAGTTTGCATGTTCTCCCTGTGCATGGTGGGTTCTCTCCGGGTACTCCAGCTTCCTCTCACAGTCCAAAAACATGACTGTCAGGTTAATTGGCCTCTCTAAATTCTCCCTAGGTGTGAGAGTGTGTATATGGTTGTTTGTCTCTGTGTTGCCCTGCGACAGATTGACGACCTGTCCAGGGTGACCCCACCTCTCGCCCGGAACTTTAGCTGGAGATAGAGAATAGTACCTCCTGACCCCACTAGGGGACAAGGGTGTACAGAACATGGATGGATGGATGGATGGATGGATGGGTTGGTGGGAGGATGGATGGATAGATGGGTGGATGGATAAATAATGAGTGGGTGGATGAATGAGTCGGTGGATGGATGGATGGATGGATGGATGGATGGATGGATGGATGGATGGATGGATGGATGGATGGATGGATGGGTGGATAAATGAATGAGTGGGTGGATGGATGGACGGATGGATGGATGGATGGATGGATGGATGGATGGATGGATGGATGGATGGATGGATGGATGGATGGATGGATGGATGGATACAGAAAAAACAGAAAAATAATCACAAATGTCCACTACAGAGGACAATTTTTCAACTTTTAAAAACTACGATAAAGTATAGTCAAAATAATTCATAGAATGTTTTAATATGCTGCTAACAGACTTATTTAGAATATGCCAACAAAATTTTAAACCAAAATTTGCACAATAAAAAGTTTTATGTACTTACTTTGTCTCTCCCCATAAAATGTGCTTCTACTGATGTACATCATTTTTATGAATGTACAAAAGCCCCACCCCTTCACATGTGGCATCATTGAAAAGCCCTAAATGTCCTCTGTAGATACCAAAAGGAATTAATTCAGTAGAATGCAGGGGATGGGAGACATTCAAGTTTAGAAATGTCCTCTACAGAGGACAAAAATGAACTACTGGTAGTCAGAAGGCTTATTTAATATTCTTCCATTACTGTTAATGCGGCTCGTACCGCTGCGTGCCCACCTACAAAAATGGTATCAAAACGTGCAGCTTGATCCCGGCATTGGAGCTATTATTTTTATTGGGAATCGGAGTTACGATGGCGACGTAAAAAGTGAAAAACCAACTGCCGAAACGCAGAGTGTAACTGCCACCAAGTGCCGCTCTGTTAGAGTGAAAAATGGACTGGATTTTTGACCCCAAAATGATTTTGAAATCGCTCTCACGCCTACAAAAATTGGTCTATCGGTATGAAAGTCAGTCATGACATTGATACGCATGCCTGCTCCCGTAAAATGTTTTCAAAATTTCTCTAGGGCTGACGGTTTTCTGGCAAGGTGCTTCAGAGCGAAATCATGTCACAGGGTAACCTCAGGCACTCAACCATTCATTTTCAGACTTTTCTGAAAAATTTCTGAGCTCAGCGCACACCATCTTTCTTTCATCACTGCAATTACTCTGAGTGACCTACGGATATGAATTGCGGAAGTATCGGAGACGACAAATAGCCCTCTCATATGCTTCAAACGGTTTTTGGATCGGCCTTACGGATCCTGAACGGGAAGCAGTTGTTCGGACTGCATTTTTTCATCAAAACTGACTGGGTGTCTTATGAAGATAGAAATCTTTCTCCACCTCTCTGTCTCACACACATTGCAGTTGGCTGAGGATTAATCACTATAGCAACAGAGAATACAGAGAAAGGCAGAGCTGCTGGTTTGGACTACAAAGACGCCATCTTTTGGCGGAACACTTTAATATAAAGGGCAGAGCAGAATGTCAGAACTACAACATGGTGGAACACAACAACATGCTAGTGATGCTCCACATGCTACTGCCAGCATTTAGACTAACATTAGCATTTTGGCTAATTTTAGCTTATACACTAATTTTAACATAGAGAATGGCATAAGTCCATGCTACTCAACATGCTTGAGACTCTCCACATGCTGTTGAGTACATTGCAGCTTTCTTTAGCATTGATGCTAATTTTTTAGCATCAAAACACTGGGTTTCAACCGACGGGGACACTTTAGCATGCCCCGGTTAAATTTCTTCAGGAATTTTCTAGTCTGTCTCATATTATACTGTCACCACATAGAAGCAGTTTTAATAAATATGCAAAAAACATGTTTGTTTTTTAAAATAAAAGTTACATACTGCACCTTGAATTCAGTTCAGACGGTCATAATAATGCTCTGTTTTGGATGAACTTTATTTAAAACAAAGCGGAAAGAAAATGAATGAGGAGTCAGTGGAAGCAGCCAAGGTTCCATCAAACGCCAGCAGATACACAACTGTTACACCAAGCTTGTACATCTCAGTCTATGGAGCAAAATTCTACAGCCAATCACAGCTGATCTACATCCGGCTCTATGACAGGTTACAACAGAGAACAGGGCACTGTTACTTGCTTTTGGCCAGGGCTCCAAAAGGTTGTTCTTTGCCTTCCGCTGAGAGAGGGATAATGAGACGGGAAGAGGAAATGAAGTGATTGCTTAATATTGTGTAGGGTTTCCTACACCCTACAGGTGTTGGTTTGTTCATTAGAGCTATAGGGTCGATCGGATCCCATTTCTGTATCTGAGCTGATACAGAAATTTCTGTATCTGAGCTGATACAGAAATCTCTGTATCTGAGCTGATCCCCTTCCTTAAGGAAGGGGATCAAAATTATACGGCTCTTGACTTATATTCATAGGTTCTTGACTTTTTTATTTAATTTAATTACTTTATTTTCACAGTACATGGCTTAATAAAACAGTACATGGCTTAACAAAACAGGAGTTTAATAAAACAGGAGTTTGTTCCTCATGTATGCACACAGTGCAGGGCTACCTCTGCTCATGATTAATTGATGACCGTTGGCAGAATTAAATTACACATTCACAAAGTAGTTTTGTTGTAGATCAAGAGGCTTTTCAGCCCATTGTACACTCAGATAAACCCTCAGAGTAAAAAGCAGAAGACTTCATTGGACTTCTGGAGTCTACAGCTCCCCCAAAGTGCTTATTTAGTGTCCAAAATTAAAATTAAATATTAAACCTAAGGCGTTCTGGATCAGAAACTATCAGTGTCAGCAGATATTTATAAAAATTCAGAAACTGGGATTGGATCGAACCCCCCCCCCCCAAATTGGGTTCTAAGCATGTCTAGTTTTTACTACATGATGATTTTATCTGAATACTTGCTTTGGTATAGAGGGACAGAATGTCCATAAGGGGCTAAAGAAAAAAAAAAAGATTAAAAGGGTGATTTTCCTAGAGTTTACACATGATATTTATATTTTCGTTAAATAAATACAACAGAGGGTGAAAGCGTTGGGGGATACTTGCATGCAACAGGTGTGAGGGGGGGAGAGTCCTCTGCATCAGCTGAGCAAACCCCACCACAAACAGAAAATATCAGTTCATAAAACAATCCACACAATGTTGATGTGTAGTTTAAAAAAAATAAAACAAAGTGCCATGCGTTGCATTAATGATTCTGTTCAGTCTGGCTGATTTATTTAGAACCAGTTCACAACAAATGTCATCTAAAAGCGTTTTAGAAGGCGCATAAATCCATGTTTAACATAATTAAGTAACTTCTGCAATCAAATCTTGATTTTAGCGGCTGTGTCTGTCTGAAAGTGACAGGAAACAAAGTCTTTATAAAATTAAAGAGTTTGCTTGGTTGTTTGTTGCTTAATCCCAAACTTTTGCTTTGACAAGATTTGAGCTTTTTGGCAACAAGCTCTCCAGTTGGCTTAAACAGACACAGACAAATCTGTTGAAAAATTCATTTCCACCATGAGGACTGTAGACTTTGGAGTGGCTTCTGATCCGTTTCATTATTTTGTTCTCCAAATATGTGAGCTGTAGCTTTCAAACTAACTTTATTAAATCAAAATATTCTATTTATATTGTTTTAGCTTTACTATGAATCATAAATTACTTTAATACTGACATAAGTTTTATATCCCAAAAAAACAAAGACAGGGATTACTACTAAAATGTTATTCAGTTTAACGGGGCAGAATCATGTATTTTTCAGGAACATGGTGCCAATTGGGTCTCTTTAAAAACTCTTGCTCCTTCTGGAACTCCACCTCCAGGAAGTCATCCCAACATGGCTCCTCTATTAACCCTTTAACAACATTTATACCAGTGTTTCACTGAGAAGTAGCTCCTATAAAGAGTTCAGCAGATGCTCAGTTTTACCAGGTGTTTGCTAATTGCTGTTGGCTAGTCTAAAGAAACTGAGTGGGGGAGTCATGGAGGAGGCATGCTCTGTGAGGTGGATGTATGAAGACTGCAACTGAATGGTTGCCATGGGAGATTGAATAATTTCTAACACGCAAATGAATCAAAGCAACAGGAATGTTTTGTGTAAATTCCCCATGTTGTAAAATTTACAGAAATTTCTTTAAAAAAAAAAAGCAACACAGGGCACTTTGTTCCCAGTCAAATATGAAATGATACTTGCTTTCATCAGAAACCTCACTTCCTGTGGTGCCACCCTCATGTGCAAGAACTAAACGGAACAAATATGGATGAAGAGATGTTAAAATGTAGGGAAGAATGTTATCAGTCAGACAAAAATGAAGAGTGAACCGATTTCAACACCAGTTGCATCCTCAGACATGAACTTGGTTTAGGGATGATGACTGAAGGTGACAGAGCATGGATGGACAGATGCCAGATCTGCAGATGAACGAGTTTCTCTGATCGGCTCCTACCTTCCTCAGGCGTTGGAGCCGCTTTAACCGCGTCTCTTTCCCGTTCTCGCCGGGTAGAGCGCTGCTTTTCTTCAAGCCGTTGCTTCTCTGCATTCGCTTCGTCCCAGCGACCTTCTTCCATCAGGCGCTGGTCCGGACGCCGCCGGCTGTCTGTCGGCGCCACGCCCTCCTCGGGTTCATTCAGGGTCAACGCGAGAGAGGAGAAGTAGTACATGTTCTCTGCTCCTTCCCTGTAAGGACATCGTCAGGCAAGATCTGAAGCACCAAGCGTCACTCTGGAACCTCGTGAATTTTCACGTTCGCTCTAAATATTAGAAGGATTAGATAAAATAAAAAAAATTACGGTAAAGGGTTCTTTCTCCAGATTTCTTTGGGTTTGAGGGTTTGGTAAACAGTCCTCTGTTTGCCCTCGGTGCCATTCTCGCCTTTGCTGCTTTGCATGATCCTGGAAAACTCCATCTTCTCATCCCATGTTCCTGACAGAACATAATGAGCCTTCCCGTCCTTATCCGTCACAACTCCTGTCACCTGAGAGAGGAAAATACCCACATTTCACATCTCACGCAGTATTAGAAAATGCTTTTTTATTACTGTAGGACATAGTGAACAAAGAAGGAAGAAGCGAGTTTCTCAGATAATCTTATACCATGATGCCACAGAATGACACAGATCACATTCGCTGCATCTCAGGGACCCTTACATCAATATTTACAATTGATGTAAGGGAACTGACAACACACAGTCTTTGATTCTATTGCTAGGCCCATAAGATTATGATTCTGTGACCATGGCTTGGTATATATATCTTAATACATTAATCCAGAGTTTTGCACACATCCTTGGGGTCTGCTTCCTACAACAACGTATTAGGGCCATCGTAAACAGGGGGAAAATAAATTAAAGAGTACATTTCTCCCCAAAAGCTCAGAAATTTTGAGATTAATCTCAGAAGATTTCTGAGCTTCAAAGGTTGAAAAGTCAAGAAAATATTTGGATTAATCCAAAAAATTTTCTACAATTTCTGGACAAACAAGGAATTTTTTTGATTAATCTTAAAACATATTTTATATAAAAAAAAAGGACATTTCTGAGTTCCCAAAGTTTTTTTTTTTTCAAGTTTTTTTGCTAGAATATTTCTGAGATGATTTTCAAATTTTTTGAGTTATTCCTTTGTTGTTTTTTCCTCCCCCCTTTCTACAAAGCCCCAAAAACACCGCCGTAGTTTTCTCTCCTTTCAGCAGAAAAAATTGTCTAGGACCTCACAAAGGACTATAGGAGTTAACTCGGGTTAAGTTTGTAAATTGAATGTAAACACATTTTTGTTTTCAAATGTAAAAACAGAGAGATTGGTTTAATACAATGTGAAATGCAGTGTGCCCAATCCTTTTAATCTACATCTGATAATTTGGCTTTGCTGCTGTCAGAATAGGTTTGCTCATTTAATACCATGCAAATACCAGAGTCATTGAGATAATCAAGAAAAATATTTTAAACCTCAAAAAACTGAAAAACTTTTTCATTTGAAGGATTTTTTTTGTATTTCAATGTAGAACACGGATTCAAGACAGAAAAATTACCAAAATCCTGTTCCAGGTTCTAAAATACTAAACACGTCACAGTACATCTTCCACCTAGAACTTCTGGAAAAGATGTCTGCAAAAACCTTAAAATGCTGTTTTCCAATCTGAATCCAACAGAACAGAAAGAAGTGCTTCAGGCAAAGGAGTATGCGCTCCTCTACCAGAACGCTGGCTCACCTTCCGGGGTACATCTCTAGAGAAGTAGCTGTAAGGAGCAAACTTGAGGTGGCATCGATCTCCCGTCTTGTGGTTCACCACATCGATCTCTCCTGACTGACGGAGGAAGTCGAGTCAGATACAAAAACCACTGAGGGTTTTTACACAAAAGATCATTTTCATACAACTGCCACCGCTACCTGATCAATCCACAGTTTCCCAACGATGATGTTGTGTACAGTCGTCGTGACTTTTTTCCAGGAGTAGTGATTGTTGCTTTTATCAAACATACACTGGATGGAGCCTGGTGACAGATAACCGGAACAGAGGTTTATTCTACTCAAAAATAAATAAATAATACCGTAATAATAAAAAAGAAGAACAGCCAGGAGGAGGGTTTTAGCGCCGTCAATCACCTTTTTGTCTCTTACGGTCATGACAGTCACAAAACAACTAAGTTTTGTAAAAGTTACATACTACAACTTTAAAAAAGCTGAATATCGACCAATGCTCGCTTGTTGCCACGGTAACACTCACTACTCCCCACTCAGTTTTACAAGATAATGCCAAGCTAAAAGAATTGCACAAAACTGTCATAATTCGCACAGAAACATAAAGGTAGAACCCTAATAATATGCTTAGACAGTTAATCAGTTACAAAAATAAAGACAAATAGTTGATTTAGGGATTATTTTCACTTTAAACCACAACTATACAAACAGCTGAAAACTTACCCAGAGGCATAATGGAAAGGTATTTTCCCCGGAACTTGCTGGCCAGTGTGATTTCCTGTCTGAGGGTCCAGCCCTTCTCAGAGAAGGCATGGTGGGCTGCAGCTGGTGGGTGGTGGCTCACCTGAGGGGGGCGGGGCCATGAGGAAGAAATTTAATCATTCATTCATTCATTACTGAACACAACACTGAACAGAAATAACCGGCATAATCTAAGCAAACAGCTCAGGTGTGTATGTATATTTTTTGCAGACCTGTTCACAGAGCGAGCGGTAACCGGACTCTCGAAACCGGTCCAGCTCAAAGGTTTCTCCCAGTAAGGGGTTGAAGGGCTTCCCCGTGCGGTGGACCGTGGTGGAGTAGGATGAGATGGTGAAAGCCGCTACGTAGCACATCTGCTCTAAAGAGCTCTGACACTTTGCGGCTTTGTCCAGGAGCTCGTAGTACTCCAGGTCTTCAGACAGACGCTGAAGCATCGACAGCGGCTCATTGAAGTTCACCTGGAAACACAAGACAACAAGGAAAAAAAAAATAAAACTTTGTTTTACTTCATTTAGGGGACAAAAAAAAAAAAAAATAGAAAGATCCAAGATTTCAGGTGACGGATTGATTTCTTACCGGCATCGGTATCTTTGAGAGCTCCTTCCCAATACAATTCTTCATGATGCTCCACAAATTAAGGTAATAGTTGGGTTTGTCGGGAATACGAGTCCGTCTTTGTCTGACCGGCTCCAGCTCAAGAGGCGGAGAAGACTCAGAATTAGACGCCAAGGACATTTCGTCATACTGATTGGGGAAGAATAAAAGGGAGAAACATCTGGAAGGTTAGTGTAAAGTTAGCCCGTTAAGTCAGTGGAGATCAGGAGAGAAAAACGAGAACGTTACCGACTGGTCGTCCATTCCCGTCTCGTTGCTTATCCCACTGATATTGCTGCCAGATCTCCTGGAGAACAGAGACGAGAGAAGACATGACGCATTGCTGGAGTGAGGTACTGCAGAACAGAATATTTAGAAAAACAGAAAAAGAAGATCAACCTGTGGTACTTGGGATCAGCAGGAACAGTAATAAATCCTGTTGGGTCTTCCATTGCATCGAAGAACTCGTTGTCATCGTCCTCATCACTGGCATCGCCCTTTCCTGAAACACCGCCTTCAAACATGACAGACAATAAAAACATAATAGAATGAGAGGATAATTGAAAATATACTTCCAAAATATTTTACATTTAAAAAAAAAAAAATCTTCTGAGATCAATCTTTTCATTTTTCTGGCCGACTGAGTATAAAAGAAGAGAAGAAGAGAGAAGAGTTTATTATCTCTGTTTCAAAAATGACGACACAAACACGTCGATGCATTTTAACTGAGTTAATGTGGTGAAGGCAGTAACTCAACCTTTATCTTTACATCTAAAATGTTTAACAAACGATTGAGTAGTTGTACCTAATAGGTCAAATATTACCTGACCAAGAGAAGCGATCTACTCGCTATGACAACCAATCAGGTAAAGTCATGTTAATCATCAGTTGTCAAATCACTCAGAACTATTTTATATGGAAACAGGAAGTAGAACCAACCTGGAATGAACATGTTTGAGAGATTTCAGCTTTCTTCAGAACCATTCCCTGTGTAACCACATCTGAACAGGAAATGGTTTGTTTACAGGTAGAGATGGAAGGGAGGAAGTGGTCAGACAAGGGGAAAGCCAGTACTTTGTTGACCCAGTTCAGGAACAACAGGTGCAGTTTGATTTTGAAATTGATGTGCACTTATCTGAGCTCTCTCAAACACCAAAACAATCTGGATTTGGAAAAAAAATTCTGTGTTTTGATGAGACAAATTTCTATATTTAATTAATATCACTGTAAAAAGTCATTGAGATTTTATACTTATTGCTAATTTAATAAGAAACTCCAACTGGAAGCTACTACATTGTTCCATACGTCACCAAACCTGGACAATGATCAAATCAAGCATTTCCAGAAGAGATGCAAATCTTTCAGGGTCTAGTGATTCAATTCTATTATTATTTTCAGTGACACAGTTCGATTCAGAACATATTTTTTGTGCATTTTGATTAGATTCTGAATTCCCAGGACTAGGAATTGTAATTCTCAATAAAATGAATTTGTTTCTGCACCTTTAGTTTCCAGCCGCTTAGACTATGTAGGATTTCTGGTAACAGACTAAGAAGACAGAAGTCCAAAATGAGAGCCTTACTTTTAATGCTTAAGTTGGGATTGCTGAGGGAAGGTGGCAGAACAGTGGCGCCTCTGAATGCTCTCTCCAGATGGTTGTGCTGTTTGGCTAGTTGCTCCAGTGTCTCCTCCAGGCGAATCCTCTGCTCCCTCTCGGTCTGTAAGGCCTTCTGCCAGCGCTTACTGTGGCTCTGGGCGATGGACAGGAAGTCCCTGCAGGCCTTCAGGATGAAAACTCTGTCATGTCAGGAAGAAAAACTCAGCAGCAGCCTCAGCAGCTCTAAACAGACTAAACCTTACATTGATCATGGCGTTGGAGGTGATTCGGAACAGTGTGGCCCTTTCTGTGACCTGTCGGATCTTTTCCCCCATGTCCGTTCCAACTTGCAGCCCCTCCAGCTCTGATAAAGACCTAATGTTTTGTGAAAGCAGTAAAAAAAAATAAAAAAAATAAATAAAGCAAGAATGCTAATGAACCATTTCCAGCTTTGTTTCTCCTGGATGCTCTGTAGCAGACGCTAACCTTTGGAGAGCAGAGCCATGTTTAACAATCAGATCGTTGCAAGTGGTGAGGTCCTCCACCTTGCTGCCCAGGGTGCGCAGCGTGGACTGGACTTCTGACGGATGAGATCCTGCGGCCTGTGTGGAGGTAGGGGTCGCTGCAGATAACTCATCAGCAGAGTCGTCTGATGACAAACACAAGCAGCATGTCGTCTCTGAACGCAACGAGAGTGATCGTGACCCCTGTCTTTATCGGGCCTTTTGTCTCACCAGATTCGTCCTGCATGCGCACAGCTTTGGCTTTGGCAAGTTCCAGCGCGGTGATCCATCGCTGGCGCTCGATTTCGGAGCTGGCCTTCAGGTGATACGTCTGCGCCCCCCCGTTGGAAATGACGAAATTACAAGAGTCCTCCACGGTGATGTTGGCGGTGGCCAGGTTTATGGTGCCTCTGCAGGTGTGACCCATCTCTGCCTGACACCTGGAGACAGCACCACAGTGGAGAGTCAAAAGCATCTGGTTTCAGACACACAACATTTCTGCAACATGAATGTGTGTGTAAACAAAAACAAGGGAAAAAAATTACTTAAAAAAAGGAGATCCAATTTTTAAACATAGCTTTTTGGGGTTCTTCCTCTTAAAACAACAGTCTAAGTTTTGTTTGAATATAATCTTAATTTACCTGCATTTATACAAGTAAATTTCAACAAAATATTCCATGTTTGCGTACCGTTTGTTTGTGTCCACCAAACTATTCTTCCACTCAACTTTATATATACACACACACACACACACACATATAGCTTTTTATATCACTTCCAATTTTTACAATGCCTGTCTGCTCTTTGACTGACAGGGGCGTCCAAATTGCGGCATGTGGGCCACTTGTGGCCCTTTGACTGATTTTGTGCGGCCCCCAAATGCAGTTAAAAACTGATACAAATTTAGTTCAAATTTAGATGCATAAGGAAACTTTTTATTTTTAATCAAGATAAAGTTATTACCAACATAATTATTTTCCAATGGAAAATGTTAAGGACAACACTAAGGTATTTGTATTCATAATAAGATGAAAACAAGTCAGATTTTTACTGGAAAGTCGATTTTGCTGCACTTAAGTCAGTTTTCATTTAATAAAAAATTGGCTGAATTTAGCACAGATTTAGCACAGAGGTTTGAAAGAAGTGGCTCAAATCCTGTTTTCATGATATAAAATAAATGCATTCAATCAAGTCCAAAAGAATTAGAAAACTGGATGCTTTAAAAAAAATATATAATAAACACGAAAAGTCTTTTTTAAGTTTTGGACCTATTACAATAAATAACAACCCTTTCCTACAAAAAAATACAAATTAATCTACCTCATTTGCTTGATTATTGTTTTCTTATTTATTTTCTTGGCCCATGAGTTCTTTTAACTTGATGATTTTGGCCCATATGACAAAACGTTTGGACTCCGAGTCAGCAGTTCTGACCATAATTATGTAGTTTCAGTAATAAAAATAAGCTTTCCACTACTACATCATACACAATTGCTAATATTCTAGCATCATTTCAATAGAAACAAAATGTAGCGTTTTCACAATCATCCAAACTGACAGAAATAAATGTCTGGCTATAAACCACTCTGAGTGTAAAATACTCCAAGTATATAGATTCCAAATCTATATACTAGATTTGGAATCGACTTCATTTACATGAATAAAATATTTGAAAGTAAAATGTTGTTTGATACCAACATATAATAAAACCACTTTCTATTTTTGAGGTTCCATGTACATTAGCAGATAAAACAACCTGAATATTTCCCCCCTCGTTTTACAGGTTTTATACATTATTGTACATTTAAATCTGTACTCCTCACCTGTAGTAAGACAGCAATCCGTTGCTGAGAACAAACCATCGTCTCTGGTAACCTTTTATGTAATTAGTCCATTTGAAGAGCCATCCCTTGTACGTGTCTCCAGGGGTCGGGGTGGTAGGAGTGGGGGGTTTGGGCTCAGACATCACAACTACTTGTGATTTCACTCAGCGAGTTTAAATCCTGGAGTGTGACAACACATATTAAGCATGTACAAACAAATAATTGCAAAACAT